CAGGGACATGTGAACCTTATTTCTTGTTAACACTATTTCAATTTCATCCCCAGAGACACTTTAACTTTACATTAATATATAGCATAGACCAATTTTCTTAATTGAAAGGCAGCTTCACATAATATGAATAAAATTATTTCTGATTAAATTCTTGCTTGATGGTATATTAAAATGTGTTCTTATTTTTTTAAATATGCTTTATTGATTTTATTGATTTTTTAGAGAGAGAAACATCATTGTGAGAGAGATACATAGATCGGCTGCCTCCTGCATGTCCCTTACTGGGGACCCAGCCTGCAACCTGGGCCTGTGCCCTGACCAGGAATAGAACCAGGACCTCTCAGTCCATAGGACAATGCTTAACCCACTGAGCCACACTGGCCAGGCTGTTATTTTTATTTTATTTTATTTTTTTTATCCTCACCCGAGGACACTTTTTTTCCATTTTTTGCACAGATAGAGTGGGAGGGAGAGAGAGGAAGAGAGAGAGAGAGAAACATCGACGTGAAAGGGACACATCGAGTGGCTGCCACCCGCAAGACCAACCAGGGCCGGGGACAAACTGCAACCGAGGTACGTGCCCTTAGCGGGAACCGAACCCGGGTCTCTCCAGACCGCAGGCCGATGCTCTAACCACTGAGCCAAACTGGCCAGGGCCAGGCTGTTATTTTTAATTCTGTATACATAGAAACCAGAAAATAATATTGAAACGATTAGCATGTAAACAGATTATGTCATCACCTTTCAACAGTCATTTGGTATGAGTGATCTGTAAAAATACAAACCCTACTTATAAAAACAGACTGATGAGCTTGAATTGTGGTGCACTTCTTACTAGTTGTGTGACCTTTGGCATGTTGCTGAACATTTTCTTGCCCGAGATTCAGCATCTATAATATGGGGCTAGTGTGAATAACCAACCTCATAAGATTATCGTTGAGTAATAAATAAGTTTAAATATGTAAAGTACATGATACATTGTAAGTACTCAGTAAGTTTAGCTATTATTACCACCACAATGTGACAGGTTTCTCTCCCTCTGTCGTATATTCAATAAAGAATGGGTTCTGTAAATGTGGAAAAGGGCAGTAACAGAAGCTTGGTTGTTACAGTGCTAGAACTGACCCAAATCCATCCAGACCTGCCCAAATGGCATTTGATTCCTTTTAAGAGCACTGATGCTAGTGTTACACAAAATGTGGAGAGTGTTAGAGCAAAAGGAAACCTAACCTAGTACGCACGTATCTAGAATTGAATTATTTTAGCACTTTCCTCTTCTGTTTTTCTTCTAGAAATAACATGAGATTTAGTATTAGAGAACTTGTTGCAATTCTGGCTTTGCCTTCTTAAGAACCATAAAACCTCGAGTTAGTTGGCAAATTCTCTGTGGACCTGTCTTTCTTCCTGTGTAACACGGGGCCAATGATAACACTTTTTATTGCTGGCCAACTTTTCAAGCCTCTACCAACGTCACTTGGACTCTGCAAACCTTTGTTTGTCCATGCCTGAGCTGGAGTGGTGTTGGTCCTCTATCCTATCATAGCAATTTTCCATACCATTTATTGTCTTTCTTGTCTCCCCCAGTAGCTTGAGCATCATAGCAAGTGCATTGCTGTGTTGTTCACATCTGCAGCATGCAAACTAGGGCATAGTTGATGCTCAGTGAAATCCTTAGCCATGAGAAATTAGTCACAAGAGCCATCTCAGTTGGTTGGACTCACTCCGTTGCTAGCTTTATTCAGACGATGCAGAGGGCGATACCCTGGTGGACAGAGCCACTTTATGTAACTCTGGAGACTTGCCTGCTGCATATCTCTGGGTGACTAGTTTCCCTCAAAGAATAAGGCAGGCTGGACAGGATTGTCTAGGCCTGGTTACCATACCAATTATTTTTTTCTCTTCTTTGTATATTTTATGAATTGGAAAATGACAAGTATATCATACGTTAGTATTGGGGAGCCCATGAGGCTGAGTATATACATCAGTTTTGAAAGTTTATGGGCTTTAGGCGTGTTGTCAAAGATATGTGCTCATCTCTTATGCTCTTTCTGTCTAGCTTAACAGCATATTTGCCCTTTTAAAATGTGATTATATGGAGACTAATTAGCGGGCTATTGCAGTTATTTAGGTGACAGGAAAGATAAACGGGCACTGACAGCCATAAAGATGAACCTTGAGGGGCAGAATGAAGAATCTTAGAAAATGAGACTTGGTAGGCTTTGGAGACATTATAAAACATGGAGTTGTGAGGATAAGTGAAAAGTCAAGAGTGATAACCGGGTTTAACTGGGTTTCTGCTTTTAGCAACTGGAGTTAATGATGGTGCTGATTGTTGAAGAGATCACTTTTATTTATTTTATTATTTCTTATTTTCAGTGGGAGATGTTGTGTTCCATACTTAGATCTACTGATTTTGAAATTCCATCGAGTACCTTAGTTGACATGGCTCAGTAAATTGTTGAAAATGGAGCTGGATATCAGGAGAACATCAGCCTGTGAGCTGTGTTTGTGCATGACATCATGTGGAGACAGTGTTTATCAAGAAAGGGGAGCCTGGCCAGTATGACTCAGTACTTGAGCACTGACCCATGCACCAAGAGGTTGTGGTTTGATTCCTGGTCAGGACACATGCCCAGGTTGTGGGCCCAGTCCCCATTGGGTGGCATGCAGGAGGCGGCCAATCGATACCTCTCTCTCATTGATGTTTCTATCTCTCCCTCTCCCTTCCTCTCTCTAATATCCATAAGGAAAAAAAATAAAAAATAAAAATAAAAGACAAGGGAAAAAGACTAAGTCCTGTGAAATTCCAGCTTCTTTTAAAGGAATAAATGAACAAAGAGACACTTTCTTTGTTTTCTGTAGGATGGTCTCAGGGACAAAAGAGAGCTAGGGGAGGCTGGTTTACCAGAAGCCAAGGAAATACAGAGTTTTAGGAAGGGAGATGAGTTCAGTCGTCATAGGTGCTACAGGTGGATGGGCAGTTCACAGAAACATGCCATTTTTAAGGTCTGATCATTAGTGGAAATTTCATTATGGCATTCTGCAGAATTTGAGAAAGAGCCCAAACTGGGTTTAGAGGTAAACGACAGTCACTGGACATGTTCACCACAGACATTCTTTAAGAAAATCTAACTTTAAAGGGAAGAACAATAAAAAGCGGTAGTCAGAGGTAGATGACAGAATGAATAAAGGTTGTAGGGTTTTCCCCTACCTTTATGCTGACAGACACGTGAACATGTTTGTAGTCTTAAAGGGAAGATGGCTGGATGCAGAAACAGATGGAAGACACTGGGTAAATAGAGTCTCAAGGAAGGATTTTAATTACCCCCAAAAGGTAGAAAAAGCAGATTAAATATCTGGATGGTATTTTTCTTCTGGTGTTATTAGTCTCATGTCCAAGGAAAACCACCACCTCTTTATCTGAATCTCGGTAATGTGATTGAAGACAAGTTTGTAGATAAGTTTCTAAAATGAGATCATGTTCACTAGTTAAGTGGAAAGCATATTTTCAATAAAATTGTTGCTATAAAGAGTATTATTCCTGTTTTGACAACTCTGTGTGTTCTTTCTCTTTATTATTTTTTGCTCTTGTAAAGGCAATGGAACATTTGCACAAAGTCTTGAGTACTCCAGAAAACCTTGTTCTTCATTGTTCCCAGCAATCGAAAAACACAATTAACAGCAAAACTTATCAATTTCATGATCAAATTAATGGTTCAAAATACATAAAAAAAAATGTGTATTTCTGTATAAAGTGATGTTCATGTGTTTTGGAATGCTTTGCTTTATTCAAATGACTTTTTTTTTTTTTTTTTACAGATGTTCTTTTTAATGAATAGTATTAGAATTAATACTATGAGATTAATATACGGTAATGACAGAAGTGAGCAGCCTTTAATTTCAAAATGATTTGCTTTAGATAGTTTTTAATGATGCCCATTAAATAATAAACTGAGTATCTTAAAATACTCCGCAAAATGATAAGCTTTGATCAGTAGCCTTCTCATTTCTCAAAGCTCCGTTTTACCAGCCTTTCAAAGGGCCTCAGCAGCTGGCAAGTGGAATCTGCAATGTGAGCTTGATAACAGGCCCCGAAGAGGTGCCAACTGTCTGCAAGAGACTCTCTGATTGCAAGAGAATAGGGATAGGCCATAAGCCCTCTGTGAGAGCTTTCTGAACTTAGTCCAATTCCCTGGCACTGTATTTCATAGATATGATTATAATTGATTCGCAAATAGGTCGTGAGGGTGGGGTCTAGGATGGCTGGGGTAATCCATGTGGCCACTGCCTGAGAGGCCTCTAAGAGGGGGAGGGGGAGTGGAGCCTGAGGGTCTGTAGGGAACTGAAATGTGCCTAGTATTCTGAAAGTCAAGCTTATTTGAACAAATGCAAATAAGGAAATGACAATGTGGATAGTCTTCACTCTTTTTCTTTGTGTCTTTATGGCATCTGATTAAATTCCGACTCTCTTGATCCTATTGACCTAGATAGATTACCTTTGCCTTTTGGATAGTCATGGACCAGTATTTCCCTCACAATATGGCTAGTGAGAGAGGTGTTCCGTGTGTGTGTGTGTGTGTAATAATTTCATGTCTAAATATGTATGTTTCATGTCTAAATATGTATATTTATACACATGTATTTAACTTAGACACATTTCCTTTCTGAAGTGGTGAGAAATGTGCATGCTCCAAGAAGAAATTTAGGGGGTTTGTAATTCCAGGACAGAAAGGACTCTGGGGAAGGGCGAAGTTCAGGGAGGATAAAGGGCTTTTTGAAAATACTTCTTAATACTTTCTAAGAAACATAAATGCAACGGATACCTCTCTAATATTTTTTCCTGAGGAACATTTTCCTTCTATGTAGAATTTATGGTTAGAGTACCAGGTCAGCATTTTATGGCACCCTAACCATTTTTATTTTTAAAATATAAAATAAAAATGTGTGGTTTATGTATGTTAATACAGGCCTATCTCCAAATTTCTGTTTTCCTCATGCAGGGGGTTACTTCTACAGGAGAACAGCAGGTTCACAGAAGCATTACATTATTATAAATTGGCGATCGGGAGCAGGCCTACACTGGCTTGTAAGTAACAGTGAAGTTTTTCTTTTTAAATACGTCCTTCTTTTCCTCTTTTTGCATAAAAATGTTCTTAATGACTTACAAGGTTATAGAAAAAAAAACCCAAAAACATGGTTACTCTTATTTTCAAAAACTTGCCAATCAAATGATAAGCCTCCATTATCTCTCTCTCAATTTAATCATGCTTTGATATCAGTTTATCATTTTTAATATATTCAGATAAATATCACTTTTATTCATTCAGATTTTAAGCGCAACATTTTTTTTTTTATCCTCACCCGAGGATATTTTTTGATATTTTGTTCAGATAGAGTGGGAGGGAGAGAGAGAGAGAAACATCGATGTGAAAGGGACACATCAAGTGTTGCCACCTGTATGATCTAACCAGGGCCAGGGACAAACTGCAACCAAGGTACATGCCCTTAATGGGAACCGAACCCCGGTCTCCCTGGACCGCAGGCCGACACTCTAACCACTGAGCCAAACTGGCCGGGGCAAGCGCTAAATATTTTGAACATTTTTTTCTTTTTATCCTCACTCGAGGACATTTTTTTCATTTTTTTTGTTCAGATAGAGTGGGAGGGAGAGGAAAAGAGAGAGAGAGAGAGAAACATCGATGTGAAAGGGACACATCAAGTGGCTGCCACCTGCACGACCAACCAGGGCTGGGGACAAACTGCAACTAAGGTACGTGCCCTTAGCGGGAACCGAACCCGGGTTTCTCTGGACCGCAGGCCGACACTCTAACCGCTGAGCCAAACCCGCCAGGGCAATATTTTGAACTTTTTGAGAGCAGAGACTATTCAATATATTTTTTCGGTGATACCTGCACTTCTTGCTATATTACTTGTTCCTGTATATATTTGTTTTCAAAGTATTTATTTCTTGTTTTTTTTGTTTGTTTTTTTTTTTATATCAGAAATAACCCATAGAAAGTAAATTGAAGTAAAGATAATATTGTATCCACAGTGTCCATCATCTTCTCACATTTACACTTCCATTTTTTCTCTCTCTCTCTCCCAGCTGCATATTTAAACACCGGTATTATTCTCATGAACCAAGGGAAGACAGAAGAAGCCCGACGCACATTCCTAAAGTGTTCTGAGATTCCTGATGAGAACCTAAAGGACCCTCATGCGCATAAGAGCTCGGTGACCAGCTGTCTGTACAACCTGGGAAAACTCTACCATGAGCAGGGGCACTATGAGGTCAGGCCGAAACCTCTCGCTCTGCTTCCCCTTGTTCTGGTCCAGACTCAGTGTTCCCTACCCTGCAGTCTCATTCCAGGGACACTGAGATCCCGTATGAAGCTAATGTGTGTTTTTATTAAGAGAGGTTCGTGGTGAAATTCATTTGGGGGTGAGGGGAAACCTCTGCTGAAGAATACTTAGCAGATTTCTTTACTGTTAATTTCTCAGAGCAACTTTCAAGAAAGGGAAACAACAACCATTGCTTCACAAGCTTATTTACTTATCATCTCTGATTTTATGGCCCAAGACACATCGTTATTGTTACCTTTATCCTGTTTAACGTTAAAAAGTACATGTACTCAGAGTATTAAGTATTAGGATGATATAAATCCTACACATTTTTTTTTACTTTTTAAAACAATAATTAAATAAAAATTAGTTTAATTTTTTTTAGTTGGGAGAGGAGAAAAATGATGGAGATGGGACCTTGGACAAGAAGCTGGAGGGTTGGGAGGTGGACCCTGTCTTGCCCTCACAGGACGCATGTCTGCATGGGCTTCTCTCACATTCAGTGTCACATCACCCCCTCCAGACGACACCCCTCCATACTCTTTCAGGCTGTATCAAGAATGGAATATAAAGATAAATATACAACTTTTAAAATAATTGCATTTAGCCTGGCCAACGTGGCTCAGTGGTTGAGCATCATCCCATGGACTCAGAGGTTCCAGTTCGATTCCCAGTCAAGGCACATGCCTGAGTTGTGGGCTACATGTTTCTATCTCTCTCTCTAAAAAAAAAAAAACGAACAATAAAAACATATTAAAATAATAACAATAATAATAATAATTAATAATATCAGTGGTTCTCAGTATCCTGATTTTCTATTTGATATTTTATTGAGATCTTGGTGGCGTGATTTTTAATAACTACCGATTTTAGATGACTATAGGTAACTTTCAGATATGAATTTTTCTAGTGTTTTTATTGAATAAGCTATGTGAACTAAAATTTCATATTAAAATAAAAGAACTTGGTAACATTCAACTACTTATTTAACTAAATTTTTATCTTGCTTTCTTCACTCACTGAGTTGAATATGTTTATTCATGGAATTCAGGTAGCATCATGTCCTAGGACAGCTGAATTCCTTTCTTGCAATAAACCACTGAAAAATAGCAATGGAAGCTTTTAATTTTGGAAGGATGTTATTTTATTTTATTTTTGGTGACTATTCCTGTATTTGACTTATTCATTTGTTTGCTTGTGTTTTAAACTAGGAAGCCCTTAGTGTATATAAGGAGGCAATTCAGAAAATGCCCCGGCAGTTTGCTCCCCAGAGCTTGTACAACATGATGGGTAAGTAGAACCTTCATAGTTCAATTGCTATTTCAGGGACCTGTGGAGGCATTAAAACTTGTACTTCTGTTAAATGGATTTCTAATAAGTTATAACATCGATCCAAAAAAAAAACCTTTATTCACAATTGGGTGTCACATTAAAATTTTCACATGGCACACTTGTTCTGACAAGAACAATTAAGTGCATTATCGTAGTGATTCTCAACAAATCATTCAGATCCCAGAGTGGTTGCAAGAGACTCACAAACCCTTTTAGCTCTTAAGTATTGAAAAAGATGAATAAAGTACACAGATTTTAGTGAAGTTATAAAATTCATGATAACTTTTGATCATGTTATTTTTTTAATCAGAAGATCTAAAGAAATGAACATGCTATGTATGATATAGAGACGATTTCAATGATTATAGACGTTGAGAATAACTGAGTCAATTTGTATGGTTTTCATTGAACAGGCCTTGGATCTCAGTAGGTTTTTTGAAAGTTAGTATTTTAGAGTTAAAATAGTTCTGTGGAAAATGCAAATGTGCTATTATAATTATTCCTTCTTCTGCTTTGCATAATTAGCTTAATTTTCTTCCACAAAGTATATAAGCTAGGGCATTGATTTTTCTAAGTACGAGAGGTCAAAAACTAGAATTTCTCATAAAATATCTACTTACCACCTACAATTGATTTGTGACTATAAATTGTTACCACAGCTATTTGATGGTGGACAAAACCGAAAATTGCCCATTCAGCATGTGACTCTTGGAGAGAGTCCTGAAGGTGTTTTGCTGATTGCTTAACTTTGCTGTTTCCAGACAAGAGAAGAGAAGGAGTTGCTTTTGCCCTCAAATCAAATTTTTTTTCCCTCCAGATCACAAAGTACAAACTCAGATTTTCTCTTTTGATTAAATTTGGTTTAGTTGCTTAATATTTCTGGGACTCCCTCATTATATAAAAGAAATGAGACAATGTGGTCTTTAGGATTATTTTATGCTTTTATATCTTATGATTTGAGAAATTTGATACTAGTTGTATGGCTTGAACACACACTTAAAACAGATCTTAAATTCTCCCAAACTGTAAAATACATGCCTGGCAAGGATACCCTTTCTCTTTTTTTCTAAATGACAGAAATTTTTAGAAATAGTTTAGAGACAGAAGGAGGTGTGGGTCAATAAACAGAAAATAAATATGATTTGGAAGAGGTTCATATATTCATTCTGTGTCTCCGGGACCGCTGCCCCCCATTAGCCTGTGTAGCAGTGGAATGATTTAATGCTCATATTTAAGTCATTGGATTATTTCCAGTTGTTGCTCTTGTTCTCTTTGCTATAATTACTAAAAGGTAGAATCTACCTTCATTAAATGTACTTACGCCTTTCAACTCTTATAATTTAAAATAGTGCCTTATACTATCCAGCATTTTTACCATCCGTCTACCCAGGTGAAATGCCCATTGTCCATAAAGTGTGTGCCGAGAGAGTTTAGATCGATCAGAATGAACTTTTCTCTATTAAAACTGGATGGTCATTCCTGTCCAAATGAATACTAAAAGGATCATTTTCTCCAGCCTTATCTAAAGAGGCACAATGGTGTTAGTTTATGATTTCTTAATGCGAATGTTTGGGAAGTCCGTTATTCCCAATTTCCCCCAATGATGAAATAAGATGCCTTTCTTTAAACTAGGAAGGGACTCTGAGATCCTTAGCAACAGACGGCATTAGGCATTGCTGTTGTTAATGGGATGTGTGCTATTCACTATAGTTAGTGATTTCAGAAAATTCATTCAATTATTTCATGTAAATAAATTTGATTGAAAACTCAGCTGGTACCTTGGGATCTGTCTCTCATATGGCTGTGCAGATGCTGACACACACAGGCAGTGAGAGATAAGTGTGTCCCTGGGGTTCTCGTCTAGTCCTTTGTCTTATTTTCCATTAGAGGTAGTCGCTCTGCCAAGACTCGGAAAAGCACTATAACACTTTGTGAGGGGAGAATCCCAATATCATTTTAAATTGCAGATTTCTTCCCTAATTATTATGGCTGCCTTCTGTTTAATTTTATGTGAAGGTCTGTTATCTGACCAGATTGGTAGTTTCAACTGTTTATGAAACTATAATTTTCTCAGAGAGTGAGTTCACCACCTAATCAAATGGTTGAAATCCTCTGAGTGTTTGCTTTAAGTCCTAATACATTTTGATTAGCCTCCATTTGACAAGGAAAAAAAAAAAAAAAAAAATGGCCCAGAAGATAAACTGCCTTATCAGTTCATCAGTTTCATTAGTCTGTCAGCATGTACTGATTATCCTATCAAGTTTATCAACAGGCTTGAATGTGTTTTCTAATTTTCACATTTACATATTGTTAGTGCCCTTTAGGGATCAGTGATGGATTATAATGTCTGGCTAGATTTAACCTGTAAGTATTCATTTTTCTCATGGCTTATTCATTTTCCTCTTTATGACCACTACCCACAAGCACTTGTGTGTGTGAATACAAAAATTATTTTTCTCCATCCATTTTTTTTTCTTTTATTTGGAGGTTAGGAGAAATAAAGGAACATTTGCGAAAAAATACAATCATATTTGAATATTGTTATTAACTCCATTCATTGCAGTTGCTCTTTAAAAAAACCACACAAAAAACACTAATTCTTTGCGTTTTTCCTTCCCTTGAACATTTTATGAGAAACCTATATTACTCTCTATTCTGCATGCCAGTAGTTGATTTATCCTTAACACCAAATAAGCAAGCATATTTTCCCATTTGTGTATTGCTAGGAAAAAAAGCTTTGATTAATTTGCTTCCCAATTTAAATTTTTTCCTATATTTTATTCTAAGACTATTAATTTTTACTCTGGCAGTCCATAAATAAATTTTAAAAAGCTATTTAAGAATATATTCTCATTATTCTCTTTGATTTCATAAAACCGAGATGATTGAGTAATAATAATTGAGGAGTATCATCCCATTCAAAATTATGCAAATTAAAAACATACAAATAATGGAAAGCAGATGCTAAGTATTATAAACAAAAACTAAACTTTCATCATCTAGATGGTGGTTGTAATTAGCAAAGTACGAGGATACATGACATATTTAGAGGTCAAATCACAAAATAACTGTTAAACTGCTCCTAACTAGTTGGGCGACTTTATTTCTGTGGACTTCCATTGTCACTTGAGAAAACAGATTAAATGGAGATTCAGTCTAGTGTGAAGTCTGATAGCCCAGGTTCAAATCATGGCTTTGACACTTACTGGCTGAGTGACCTTGGGCAAATTGCTTAAGTGAAGCCTCAGTTTCCCCATTTTTTTAGAAGTCTGTAATATAGTGTCTGTTTGAGAATTGATTCGGATAATAAAGGTCAAGTTATTGGATCAAATATCCAACCTAGTAAATGTTTCATAAGATTGCCTTCCATCGCAATCATTATAATTTCTGTGGGTCTTTAAGCTCCAAGTGTCAATGACTGTATTTCCCATCAAAGTCTCTGTGTATTTCCCAATGAATATTATTTCTCTATAGATAAGATTTTGTCATAGTGATGGCCTTGCAGTCACTGATTCAAGAGGGATTCTACTTAGTTCTGTCCTGTCTAGAACTGCTGTACTGCTGTATTTTCTCTTGAAGTTCATTTTCCCTTGTCTCTCAGCAACCACAGTCAAAATCATTCTTTGATCAATAACTATGTTAACCCAAACTGAAACAGCTTACTCAGTTAATGTGCATTTAACTTAATTTTATTAATAGAGTTCTCCTTCTAAATTAAAGTTGTTGTATTTAGGTTAGTTTCTTCTTTTTTACTGTCATGGCATATTTTTCTCCTAGATGCATTCAAAATTATTTTTTTATTTAGCATTCAATACAGGTCTTTATTGAATCTCAGTTCCTATTTTAGTCTCAAATTATAGGTATATTTTAGAATCACAGAGTATTGGTGATAGAAGACTTATCTTAAAATTCTCCTAACATAATCTCTTTTATTTTGCAAGATAAAAATGAACACTCAAAAAGTATATGTTCAGGATTACACGGTTCATATTAGAACCAGAAGTATAGCATCCTTACTTAAATTCAAGTTCTTTTTCAATTTAAGCCTTCTGTATTATTGAAACTGATGTTTTTAACTATGTTAATATAACTTTACCCATTTAAAAATCAGTGAAATATATATATTTCATAGATATATTTTTATTATATATATTTCATAGATATATTTTTATTATATATCTATTATGTAGATATATAACAAAAACCTCTTCATTTTAGCATAAAAGAATGACACCTACAAAATTGTGATTTCATCACAGATGCATTAAATATGCAGGGCATTATTTTTTTAGGTAGGATAATTGCTATCCATCCTCAGTTTTTCTTTTGTTTTCCTATAATTTTTTTCCTTAAAAATGTCCATTTAAACATTGCATTTGAATAATCCTACAAGATTATGGGAAACTAAATTAAGTTGTGGCTTCCAGTTACTTTTATCACCTAGGGTCCTTTCAAACCCCAAAGGTCATTTTAAGCTTATTTATTATTTAAAATAAAATTACTCTGCTTTCTCAATGCAAAGTAATTGTTGGGTTTAATTACTTAAGCAATTGAGGCCATTTCATCTGGGTAATGTATCCTGAGAACAAAGGGACACAACGTGTCACATGAAGTAAGAGAGAACCTAGAGTTACTGCTTTGTCATTGCAGTCTATAATCACTGTGTTTAGAATAATTTTTGTGTGCAAAAAAATTTTTTTAAGTCACATACCCCCCACTCAGTACAAAGGTGATGATGGTATGAAATGGAAACAGTCCGTAAGGTTCCTGATCTCAGAGAACTTTCTAGGAAATTTCACAGTTGGTCTGGAGTTTAGTGCCTTTCCGTAATAGGTAAATGCTTACAAATAAAATGGAAAGCTGTATTGCTTTAACTTTGAGAATATGTTGTCCATAACTATGTAAGCTATCTGTTTTGACTGGATCACACAAATCAAACCAAAGCAAATAAAAATCTC